TTTTTTTTTAGGTCAATATCCGTGCATTGCCTTGGAGTACAGTTTATTGCAAAATTATTAAATTCTGGGTATTTTAATTTATGAGTAGGCTTCTACCTTAATCTTATTTATTGTGCTATCGCATATAATAATGATTCCTGCCACGTTGCCAGTACCGTACAAGCGTAGTGTGGGTAACGACGGTTTGTTGTCGTGCACTACACAAGTTTTTATTTTAAATAAAAAAAACACTTTATATATCAATGTATTTATTTACAATTATTTGTTGGCAATTTTAAATTTGTACAATTTTAATATTCTTCGCCTTCTTCCTCGCCTTCTTCATTGTCGACAGAATCCACGCCAACTTCTTCGTAGTCTTTTTCCAATGCAGCCAAGTCTTCGCGTGCTTCCGAGAACTCCCCTTCCTCCATACCCTCACCGACATACCAGTGGACAAAAGCGCGTTTGGCGTACATTAAATCGAACTTGTGGTCAAGACGGGCCCATGCCTCCGCGATGGCCGTGGTGTTGCTTAACATGCAGACAGCTCGCTGTACTTTGGCCAAGTCGCCACCTGGAACGACCGTTGGTGGTTGGTAGTTGATACCCACTTTAAAACCAGTTGGACACCAATCGACGAACTGTATTGTGCGTTTGGTTTTGATAACCGCAATAGCAGCGTTGACATCTTTTGGAACAACATCGCCACGATACAACATGCAGCATGCCATATACTTTCCGTGGCGAGGATCACATTTAACCATCTGATTGGAAGGCTCGAAACAGGAATTGGTCACTTCGGACACCGAGAGTTGCTCATGGTAGGCCTTTTCAGCAGAGATCACTGGAGCATAGGTAGCCAATGGGAAATGAATACGAGGATACGGAACTAGATTGGTCTGAAATTCCGTCAAGTCTACGTTGAGGGCACCATCGAATCTAAGAGAAGCCGTAATGGAAGAGACGATTTGGCCAATAAGGCGATTCAAATTTGTGTACGATGGACGTTCAATGTCAAGATTGCGACGACAAATATCGTAGATTGCTTCGTTGTCAACCATAAAGGCGCAGTCAGAGTGCTCCAGTGTCGTGTGGGTAGTTAGAATAGAGTTGTAAGGCTCTACGACAGCAGTAGCGATCTGTGGAGCAGGGTAGATGGCAAACTCTAATTTCGATTTCTTGCCATAATCCACGGACAGACGTTCCATCAACAGCGATGTGAAACCGGAACCAGTGCCACCACCGAAGCTGTGGAAGATGAGAAATCCCTGTAGACCGGTACATTGATCGGCAAGTTTACGGACTCTGTCTAGGACCAACTCAATCAGTTCTTTACCAATTGTGTAGTGACCACGTGCGTAGTTGTTAGCGGCATCTTCTTTACCGGTGATGAGCTGTTCGGGGTGGAATAGTTGGCGGTAGGTACCAGTGCGTACCTCGTCTGCAAGTTGAATGGAAAATATGTTAAGTGAATAACGATATTACAAATGCAATGTTACAAGCAACATCATATACGTACAAACTTTCAGATAATGGCGATATAAATATTGACACGCATTAGTGCCCCCCCCCTCGTGGGAAGGGGGCTTCTTTGTATACAATAGGTTCACTGGGAACGTCTGTAAAGCATAACGTATACGAAAATGACTAACATTTGTGGACATGGGTTTTGAAATGCACTGAACGCTAAACAAGTAAATTGCCATTTTCACACATTTGATTTATGATGGACAAGAATAAAAAAAAAAAAAAAATATGGGGGTAACCGTACTCTGTTCTGAGAAAAATACAATCAATACAAACGCCGTGAAATTCATTTTACGCATCTGCTTAAGGGCATTTTACCATAGTTTTCTAAGGTAGGGATACATCCCGCTATCACTATGCTCCGACATAGCGACAAAAAGATTTGTAGTGTCTTACATTGTACTTTTTGATGTCTAGAAGCATTTAAAAAAAATACAATTATATTTGTGGCGTTTTAACGGGGATGCGTTTTCATAGTGGTCTAAGGAATCTGCTGCTGCTAACAAGACGATTACTTGTAGACGATTTTTACACTGATAAAACATGCGCACATGTAAAAAAAATAAACAAAGGAGTAGCATTTGTTTGCATATGGCCAAAATAAGGCATACGACTAAACTGTTGATGGCATCTAAGTTTTTAATTCTCACCTACTACGCTTGGTTCCAAGTCCACAAAGATGGCACGTGGCACGTGCTTGCCACCCCCAGTCTCGCTGAAAAATGTGTTGAAGGAATCATCACCACCTCCAACAGTTTTATCACTTGGCATCTGCCCATCTGGTTGAATACCATGTTCTAAGCAGTACAGCTCCCAGCATGCATTCCCCATCTGCACACCCGCCTGGCCAAGATGCATTGATATACATTCACGCTAGAAACACAACACAGATAAACATTTGTCCCGAGTATTTAGCCAAAAAAGGCACAACTAACGTGAACAAGATTGTTGAGAGCTCCGGTTAGAGAATTTTCCGGCAGGTACCATAATGTGTAGCCTCGCTAGAAACGTACAGAATTCACATAATTGTCAACTCGAAAATTAAGCAATTGTCAGTACGATTTAATGAAACTTAGGTTCAAGCCACCCATCCCATAGTCTCGGCGATGTGGAAACGAGACTTTCCATTTCGAAATAATGGTGTAATGGGTGTATACAACCACAGACTCACAGATGCAGGACATTTGCATCAACGATTCCAATAAATTTGCAAGTACCCCGAAAGGCAACCAAACTTACCATTTTCAAGCTGAATCCAAAACGCGACTACAACTCCACAACGTAACGTACAATAGACACCGTGGAAATAAAGAAAATGTGATCATGTGTTCGTTTTATATATATTCATTGTACGTACCACCTGGTAATAGTATGCGTTACAACGACAATTGGACCATTCCATTTTGATGGATGACACTTAATATTTGGACCAGTCCATTTTGAGCAAATACGCATTTGAACGTATTATCATAAACGCTTTGTATTGGCTTACCATTTTGAGTCCCATCGAATTTCAAAGGATCCTACTTTATTTGTTTTCGAAAGCGCGTTTTGCAATGTACGACCAGAATGTCAAATTTACATGAAAGTCATGTGACAGACAATTCATAAAGGTGCAAAAACTGGCCCGAATCTTTGAGAAATTTGATCGCCAACACAAATACTCGCCCTCATCCCCTAATAACTAATTTGCATATTTCTCGGGATGTCCCATCGAAGAGTCACTAAGTTTGGCTTACTGTTAAAACAAAAAAACAAAACTGTATGTTTTCAGAATGCACGAATCATATCCACAAATAGGGGATATTTACTAAACATTGACCAGCTAATACACCGGGTTTCGTGAAGAGGGGGAATCTGTTTTATAGACATTTATAAATGTTTATGAAAACGCTTCATTCAAATCCAAAGATGCTTTCATTGGCCGTAGACATTATTTAGTGGCGCCCATTGCCCACGAGTCTTTGCGGGATCCCTTCAATCTTTGCCTGAATTACTGACATAAACGCAAAAGTTAGATCCTATCAAATTTGTTTGAAGCGGTTGAAATTACATCGATTTGTTCGCCGAAATAAACATGCAATTACAAGTAGTACCTTTATCGTTCGGCACGTTAAATTGCGAAAGCAAGCCAGTGTCAAAAGAAAGGTTAAAAAACCCAACTGTAACAACAGCTAGGTGCGTTATGTTCTAAGGCTGGCAGGCGCGGAACATGTAAATTTGAATTCCTTCACGCCAGAAATATTATTGAGGTAATCACCATAATACTAGACTCTTGAGTGATAACAATATTTTAGTCTTTCCAACAAAACACGTAATCACATTGTTGCTTCACCACAGTTTTAGTGTATAACGCACAGTATTTCACTCCAGTAACGTTACCTTCGCACAACGTAGTCCCTGATAAGATTGCTTGTATTTACGTTTCTACAGAAGTCATACATTCGTAGTCGGGAGTCACTTTCGGTGGTACGTTTTCAGGTAAATCAACTGACCTGAAAAGGCCGCGTGTAAGCGGTGAATGACCACAAAGATAAAGTCTGTATGTGGCAGAAGTATACTATGCACCACATGTTCGTTATAATCCGAGGATAAATGTGCAAAACATGCGCACAGCAAACGTTCTTCGTTTAGGATGGTGTGATGATTTCATTAACTGCGCACTGTGTTGATTTATATAGTTTTTTACATTTGTTTCGCACTTGCGTACTTAAGAGCTGATCTTACAAGCGAAATGCGAACCCTAACCCTAACAATCCAGCCCCAATGTAATTCAATATGCCCTCTAAATAACTATAAGTGACCTAATGAGGGCTTTCAATTATAAGTTATCATACAATTGAGCCCATTCTAATTTCTTCCAACACTCACCACTGCCAGTCACAGCAGCTACTAAATCAGTGTGTAAGGCAGTACGACAGCCAATATGACTTTATATGAGAAGAGAAATGTGTAAAATTGGCTACTGTAAAATACTTTATTTTCACTTGGGATTTTTTTTTCGCTATTTTCGCCGAGAGTATGATTCAATCACTGTGAAAATAAAACCCAGCAAATATACCTTTTTTCTATATCTTTCATTCAACTTGTCAAAAATCAGTGAAAATAAATTCCATACAAAACACACAAAATGTCTATTCAGTGAAAATTAATTTCAGCTAAATAAAGTATTTTACAGTATATCTATACGACTATAACTATGCTATACACTGCAGTACGACTATATCCAAGGCCTGTGATGATTTGAATATGTTTTCAACATCCGCAAATAAAGCCATCTTACTACTGCTAAGTACTAGTGACAAATCATTACAATCATGTAATAATATATAGAAATCAAAGAAATGTAGGAAAGAACTCCCGTGTGATAAAGGTACATATGCTTCCAATAGAGCAAATACAGCATTTAAAAATAAAACTGTAAGTACAGGTTGAATT